TCCCCTTAAAGAAAGTGGAAGAGGTAATATTCAGCTAGAATTGTCAAGACAACAATTATTGGTTTACTAACATACATAGAAACAACAAAGAACTGGATGATATAATAAGCCAAACAACAGAAAACAGAAAGAAAACTATTCAATCAGAAAGAAGATTTATATTTGCAGATTATGTAGAAAACAAAATAGAACTCAAGAACCAATAGTTGCAGCAAGTGTTATGAAAAAGAAAGCCAAATATAAACTCTTGAACAGATAAAATACGGCTAGAAAGACAAACATCTTCATGGCCAATATCCAGAAAGTGTCAATAAAGCCTATGTTTACTAAAGTTAACACTGATCGATGGTTACTAGCATCTGGATTAAAGGCTGAAACGGAAGGCGTTATTCTTGCAGCGCAAGACCAGAATCTTTTGCTTCGGAACATTCAGACAAATACCTTACATGATAGTGTGGATCCAAAATGAAGGTTCTCTGACAAATATCAGGAAACCATTGACCATCTAATCTTAGGATGTTCTGTACTTGCAGCAAATGAATATAAACATCCTCATGATAGAGTGTCCAATACTTTAAAAAAAAAGTTAATAAATACTAGAATAAACATCACCCAACACCGGTTACAGAAATAGAAGACATCACAATTCTATGGGATTACACCACCTTTACAGAAAGGAATTATTGAAGCAAATATGCGGGGAATAAGTGTCGAAAACCAAATTTAAAAAATGCATACTAATTGATATGGCTCACATTCTTTGGCTCCTGTCACTGGATCAAACTAACGCCTTTATACACTGTGCCATGTATGCTTGAGTTCAATACCCGGTGAAGGCAGTGGGGAATTTCAGAGGGAAATTAACAGGAGATAACTGATAACTGACATCAATTAAAACATGGCATGTGGAACTAGAACAGTCTACCCCAATGAGCGAAATAAAGGGTTTAGTTCGACATTCCAACCAACTGAAGAAGCCGAGAGCGTACAACGGCCGAAACGTTGTAATAAATATGGCGACAAAGATGAGGACAATAGTCCGAATAATGTAAATAATGTACATAATACCTCATCTCAGAAATATAGACAGATAGAGAGTGACCCTTAGTAAAGAGCATGTATAAACATTTGAAAAAGATTAGGAGTGACAGACTTTATTAAAAGTTACAAAAGACAAGAGGCTGTGGAGAACCATTAGGGCCTACGAGGTAAAGTGAAACGGCATGCTAAAAAGAATAATTATGTTCACATCATATTATCTTTTGAGTGTCACTATGGATTAACCTGTGATATCCGGTAAAATTCGTAAAATATTTGCCGCGTCAGAAGAATATGTTATCTAATAAAATTCATATATTATATGCAGTGGCATGCGTATTAATACTAAAAATATTATATATGTGGATTACAACAATTAAATATGAATAACAATGAATATGTAAGTTGATAATAAATGATCTGTAGGAAATAGGACTGGTTTGTAAAACAAATTTCACCCCAAAGACATGATGAATTCCAAGATATTTCTAAATAATTAAATGCATCGTAAACTAAAAGTCTGATTTTCACAGAGGCATAATATACTAGATTTTTTAAAAAGTTAATTATCTTAAAGTTCCGAAATATAAGGTGTCATATTAATTTAAGCATTTTCTAATAAATTCTTTATTCACATCTTTATTGATCTCTCTCTATCTTTAATGATCTATCTATCTATCTATCTATCTATCTATCTATCTATCTATCTATCTATCTATCTCTCACTCTCTCTCTCTACACGCACACACACACACACACACACATATATATATATATATATATATATATATATATATATATGAAAAAGCAAACAAAAATCTTAATATGCGATTATGCTGTTTTAATGTTTAATGTCAACGTCGGATGTTTCGGTCTAATAGACCATCTTCAGGACATATTCATAAAACATAATTAATATAGACCATATACAATTCAACATGAAAAAGACGATGGACATAAAAGCAATACCAATCCAAACAGATAAAACAATCTTTTATAAGATCAGCATTCCGTTTAAATATGATCACGTCGTCGTCACGTGGGATTTTTGCTTGTTTTTTTTTCGTATATTTTCTTCATACTGTCGGGTCTATATCCATATATTTGCTTACACACACACACACACACACACACACATATATATATATATATATATATATATATATATATATATATATATATATATTTCCCGGACTGAATATCCAAGAAATTTCAATAGAAAATATGTGCCCTCTGACAGGAATCGAATCTGTATCCTACACAGAACCGTCATATAGCCTGACGTGCTATAAAATTTAGCTACATTTGAGCGTCTGGTTAGCAACTTTAAACTGTTTTAAACTAAAAAATTACCTATGATTTTTAAAAATAGTAATTCGACTTTACTCACTAGACGCTTCCTTTGTAGCTAAATGTTATACTACGTCAGGCTATGTGGCGGTTCTGTGTAGGATAGAGATTCGATTACCGTCCGGGTCACGTAGTTTCTGTGAAGTTGTTCGGACATTCAAACCGGTATATTGTGTTAATATTGTTTATTATAAAATAACATATACTTAAATACTCCGATAATAAGGAAATATTCCAGCAACACAGTAATTGTTATATCACCGCCCTAAAAAATAGCGGATACAAAAACGCTAACATAAATTATAGAAACAATAGTACTAACCAGAAGAAAAACAGGAAAAGTAATCTCATTTGGTATACCCCTCCGTTCAACCAAATTGTTAGTATTAAGCTAGGACATAAGTTCCTTGCTTTAATTGATAAACACTTTCCTACTAATAGCAGACTTAGCAAGATCATTAATAAAAACATCTTAAAATTAAGTTACAGTTGCACTGGAAATCTAGAAAGAATCATAAAAAATACATAATAATAACATCCTTGAAAAACACGCATGCCAAAACAGCATTAATAAAAATCATCATCTAAAATTATACAAAAATAATGAAAAATTATGTGATTGTAGAAACCCTGAAGACTGTCCGTTGGAAAATAAATGCCGCGCAAAATCTGTGGTATGCCAATGCACTATCTCATCCATTGAGAGTCCTAACACTGATAGGATATACATTGGTTCAACGAAGAATGAATTTAAAATTAGATGGAGAAACACAAAAGCTCCTCCAATAGTATTTGAAATAGAAATCTCTATTCAAGTAATTTTGGCATTTAAAAGAAATGAATAAAACACGAAAAGTGACATGGAAAATAATAAATATAACAAGAACTTTTGAAACCTGGGATGACTCTTTATGCCTACATGAAATACTCCACATTATAAAGTTTATAAATAATGAAAATTTATTAAACCATAGACATGAGTTAACGGTTTTCTGCCGACATCACAAAATTTTCGCATTAAATAATTAGCATGAAAAAATTAAATTTCAAAGTCTAATAAAAGTTTTAAAAGCTTAACCCAATCATAAGAGAAAATACCCTTCATGGACTACATAAAGAGTTTTTCTCTTATGATTGGCTAAAAAAACAAACTGTAGTTCAGTGCGACGTGTTTAAGTACAAAACAGCCCTTTAGAAAAAAATAAAAGGATAAATAAATAAATAAAATAAAACAAAATTCTCTAGACACTCAACGACATATTATGGTGTCAAAAGCTATCTTTCGCTGTGACTGACCGATGTGCACACATGAATGCCATCATTCGCTTTGAAATGGATACTCCCACCCTACCTTGTCTTGACCTCTTTCCAAAAGTGACTGATAAGTGGATAAAAATTATATCTTAGACACCTTACCAAAATAGCCGCCCCAGCCGTTTCCATAGTAATTAATTTTGCGAATGAACATGCTTATAAGGATGCGTAAATTTCAAGATTGGTTATTCCTAAATTTTCGCTTGAGGATGAAAAACAGATTGATATTTTAATTCTATTTAATTTGAATAATTATATTGAGGTTTTCGGCTCTAGTTTTTGAAACATGAGAATACTTATGTAGCGAAGGAATCATATATTTTAAAAATAATTATAATACAAACACACACACACACACACACACACATACACACACACACACACACACACACACACACACACACACACACACACACACATATATATATATATATATATATATGTATGTATGTATTAAAAAAGAGATAGAAATATAATTTGATCCAGCTTTTACGAGTATCCTTTATTATAACATTGAAATGATAAAATGTTAAGTCTAAAAATAAATGCATTAATCTTTTACACACACACACACACACACACACACACACACACACACACACACACATATATATATATATATATATATATATATATATATATATATATATATATATATATAGTTAATGTGAGTAAAACTTTGTCACTTAGCAGATTGTTGTTACCTTCAGCATCCCGACTCTCATGGAGTTTCGTAGATAGACCTGTCTGTCCGCTCTTCAGGGGTATCGGCAATTTGTGTGTGTGTGTGCGCGCGATCGTCCGCCTTCGTGCCTGCGTGCGTGTTGTTCTTATTAAACTCGTGCAATTTCATCACACGTATTTTCAGGCTACTTTGCTAAGTGAACCAGCTTGAAGATCCTAGATGTGAAACTACAGTATTTTCGTTCGTTAATTATATCCCTTTTAAGATCTACTTTCTTCATATACTTCTACAGCTTCTGTATTGATCAATTTTTGAAATCGGGAATGATGGATAAATTTCCTGTTTGAAGTTACTCTATAGTTGATTCAAACGAGTGGACAATTTACACACATATACTTACGCACATACACACACACACCCATACACACATCAAAATATTAATAGTCACATGCACACTCACACACACTCACTCAGAAATATATATATATATATATAGAGAGAGAGAAAAGTATAAACTAATTTTATATACTATTACATAATTTTGAAAATTACAGTAATTATTAAAGTACTATGAATGCACTAATAAATTGTTTTCACACTTAAGCTTATTTACATAGACAGATAGATAGATATGAAAAGATTAAGAAAGAGAGCTAGATAGATAGCTAGGTCGCTAGCTAGCTTGATAGATAGATAGATAGATAGATAGATAGATAGATAGATAGATAGATATGAAAATATTGAGATGGAATCGTTTATCGTGTTAAAATGTCGACCTGTGCTGTTGCATCAATATTGCATTAATAACTTTGAGAAAGGCATGAATCCATTTCTTCTTGCCATTCCACTGCAACTGTCGCTGAAAATAATTCAAGTGACTGGCTTTGGAAGCCTGGCGTGTCATTCAGGGAACCACACTGATCAAGGAGATAGCAACAGGAAACCACTCTTTTATTTTTCCGCCGATCAATACATAAAAGGCAGAACCATGATCTTATACATCCAGAAGTGACATAATTTATGAGAATGAAAGGATTTAATTTTCGATCGAATTTATGTTTGTAACTATGCAAAATCTACTTGTAGATATCTAGTTATATCCAACATTAACTTTCAATAGCTCGATATTGCAATAGCCCGATACTAGACCGTGTTAGTAGTACTAAGCTCACTTGAAAATATCAATATACAGAGATGCCCTCATAAAGCAATGTTCTCAATATAGAATTCTATATATGATATTACCAGCATAAACAGAATAAGAACGATTATAAATAATGCATATAATGAAATAACAACAATAGCAAAACGACGGCGATGAAATTATAAAAACATAAAAACAATATATAAAAATAATTACTAAATCTAAAATGTTAAAGAGACTTGTTGTCACTCAGCTGCTAATTTGATTAATCTGTTGCTATTGGTGTGAAAGGAGTACAGAATAAGTTCAACAGAAGAAATAAATGAAGAATTTGTTGTCCTGTAGAACTGTCGGAATGATTATTAGATTCTTGGACTCTGAAATTAGCTATCACTTGGTCACCTGGTACGCGAAAGCCTTGTCTTAAGTCTGAAAATGGAAAAATAAAAAATAAGAATTGTTGTCACTTGCACCTAAATAAAACATTCACTTACCTGGTATAAAACTATCATATTAGGAAACTTGCTGTCACATGATCCCTAGCAAACATGTTATTATACCTGTACATCACAATATCAAAAATATTGAACAAAAAGTCATTTTAATATATATTTACATCCCCTGAAATAGGTTTGTATAGGGGAACCTTATCCCGTACGTAAAAAAGAATTGAACACACAAAAGGAGACAAGTTATTATAATGTTAATGGAACACACGGCGAAGGAAAGTGAGGTCGATGATATGTCAACGCCTGAAATCAGAGTAATATATATTTATCTATACCATGCTGGTAGTATATGTTGTGGTTCGAGCCTAGTAAGAGGTTAGAATTTCACATTCAATTTTTCGTATCGCCCCTTCAAAATTTAATAACAAATAGATGAATGAGCAGAAGAAGTAATTACCTTACGTTATATGTATAGATATAATAATAAAAAATAAAGCCACATTATCGATAAACATCTATAAAAATATTTAGCCCCAAAAGCCATTCTAATTGTATCCTTTATTGGACATTTTGCGTTTGGCCCACACTACCGACCCTTTTGATTATTTAGGTTCAGTTGACTTTTGCTTAAAACGAGGAAGAATTCGGTTTGCAGATATTATAAACTGGTGATGAGAAGATGAAGTGTGAAGTAGCATCCTACACTACCCAAACGGCGTGAATGGGAACGCCCAAACCGACCAACACCGTACGCAGACCACGTGAGTGTCACATGACCTGCACCGAGTTGTTTTACGGTCGAAAGAAAGTTTTCTGCCGAAAACGCACGCAAATATTTTCACGATGGCCGTGGCAAAAGTTGGGAAAATTCTAACAATTTTGATTTGTATTCTTCAAAACGGATTACAGGGTAAGTGAAGTAGTTTCTTCGTCCGATTTTAACGGTGGGGGGATAAAAAGAAAAGAAAGCGCGAGCTGCGAAAATAGAGAATGAATGAAAAAAAAAATGAGGAAAAGGCGGACTGACAAAAAAAATTGTAAAAAAGAGAGAGAAAAGACAAAATATGTGAAGCAT